TTACTTTTCCTTAGGTTTTGGGCAGATTTTGGCGTGTCCATCTTTTCGGCTTCCCGACGCCCCAAGACGGCCCAAGAGGCCCCCAAGATCGCCCCAAGAGGGCCCAAGAAGCTCCCAAGAAGGCCCCAAGATGGCCCAAGAGGGCTCCAAGACGGCCCCAGAGGCATCCAAGACGGCCCAAGAGGGGCCCAAGAGGGCCCCAAGCGATGCCCCAAAGGGGGAACACAAAACAAAACTTCGAGCCCTCGGCCTTAAGAAGCCCCCAGGAGGCCTCAAGAGGCCCCTGAGAGGCCCCCAAAGCCCCCAAGAGGCCCTCAGGAGGCCCCCAAGCGACGCTGAAGAGGCCCCCCAGCGGCCCCAAGAGGCTCAGTCATGCGAAATGGGCCGGCGGAGTGAGCGAAGCGATTCAATAAGAAAACGCTCACATAGTCACAATTCTTCAAAAAAGACCTGGGACGATGTTTCGACTATGTTTGGACTATGTTGGGCTATGTTTTGACTATTCTTTAGTTTCCCCCCAGAATCTGCCTGTGGGAGGACATGTCCGACCTAACGCCAGGGCGGCCGCCCCGCCTCGACTGCCCGCGCCAGGGCCCGCGTGGGTGGGAGAGTGCGGTGAAAGTTTCTTCAGGAATCTGGTCTCGACCCCGCCGCTTGGCTTTTTCCTTGATGCATGCTCTGCGCTGGTGCTCCTCCCTATTTGCGTCGTCCGCTGGGGGAGGGGCAGAGACGCAAAGGGTTCAACCAAGAGACGTCGAGGCTTGGGAGTGCATACGGGCAGTTGCTGGGATAATCAGCCACGTGTAACCGATTCGATACGCCCTTCCTTTGCTACCCCTCCCTTCGTTCCCTGAACCAGGGATCCCAGAACCATCTGGTGGCAGATGGTCCGACGGCCTCGAAAGATTTCGCCAGGCTGTCTGTAGCCATTTTGGCTCACTTATTTGGCTCAAGGCTCGAGTTGCCTCTGGCTGCCTCTGGCTGGCTGGCTGGCTCTGCATCGGCTCGAGTTGCATGAGCCGAGAGCCTGGGCCGCGGCGACGGAGATCTTTGCATAACATCCGACCCCGATACGATCAACCAGGCCTGTTTTGGCGCCCCTGGCGCTGGACGCGGCGGGCATAAAAAAGGGCCTCGTTTTTGTCAAGGACGGGCGCCTCTTCCCGTCTGTAGGATCTTATGCAGTCCGCGCCAGATGTGTATTGGATTTTTTACGCTCCGTATCGGATCCCATGCCGTCCAGAGACCCGCTCCACCCTGCGCCGACGGCAGCGGCTGGCGGCTGCTGGCCGGGTCGCGATCGCGGCGGCCAGCTCACCGCTGGCCTGGGCTTGCTGCTGGCGCGCCCAGCGCTTGTGCCCGCGGCGCTGTCGACGGCTGCCTCCCCGGAGGCGGCCTGGGAGTGGCGCTGGATGACCTCCGGGCCTTTCACAAGCGCAAGTTCTGCCTTGACGTCGAGGATCCGGAGGAGGAGCGGGAGGGGTACGCGGAGGAGGTGTCCAGGGCCATGTGCGAGCGCAAGTTCGGCGTGGACGAGATGACCTCGACGAGGGCCTGTTCGAGAACGCCGACGGCACCATCTGGCAGGCGGCCGAGTTTTCGATCGAAGAGGTGTACAAAGCCGATAGGATGGCCCTGCCTCTGGAGTTCGCCGATACCCCGACCGAGGAGGAGGAGGAGGAGGAGGAGGAGGAGGAGGAGGAGGAGGAGGAGGAGAGGAGAAGGAGGAGGAGGAGGAGGAGGAGGAGGAGGAGGAGGAGGAGGAGGAGGAGGAGGAGGAGGAGGAGGAGTTGGAGGAGGAAGAGGAGGAGGAGGAGGAGGAGGAGGAGGGAGAGGAGAGAGGATGAGGAGGATGAGGAGGAGGAGGAGGAGGAGGAGGAGGAGGAGGAGGGACTGGGAAGGAGGGAGGAGGGAGGGAGGGAGGGAGGGAGGGAGGGAGGGGGGGAGGGAGGAGGAGGAGGAGGAGGAAGGAGGAGGAGGAGGAGAGGAGGAAAAGGAGGGAGGAGAGGAGGAGGAGGAGGAGGAGGAGGAGCAGGAGGAGCAGGAGGAGGAAGGGGGGGAGGAGGAGGGAGGGGGTGAGGGAGGGGGGGAGGGAGGGATGGAGGGAGGGAGGGGGGGAGGGAGGGAGGGAGGGGAGGAAGAGGAGGAGGAAGAGGACGATTGATGCTGATGATTATTTGGATGATGATGATGCTGATGATGATGATGCTGATGATGATGCTGCTGATGATGATGATGATGATGATCAGATGATGATGATGATGATGATGATGATGATGATGATGATGATGATGATGATGATGCTGTTGATGATGGTGCTGCTGATGCTGTTGCTGATGATGATGGTGATGATGATGCTGATGCTGATGATGTGATGATGCTGCTGATGATGATGATGCCGATGCTGATGATGCCGCTGCTGCTGCTGGTGGTGGTGATGATGATGATGCTGGTGCTGCTGCTCATGATTCTGATTCTGATCATGATGAGTGATGATGCTGCTGCTGACGATGCAACTGATGCTGATGATGCTGCTGCTGATGATGATGATGATTATGATGCTGATGATGATGGACGATGCTGCTGCTGATGCTGCTGATGATGATGCTGATGATGATGATGATGCTTCCGATGCAGATGATGCTGCTGCTGATGATGATGCTGTCGCTGATGATGATGATGATGCTGCTGCTGATGATGATGATGATGTTGCTGCTGCTGATGATGATGCTGCTGCTGATGCAAATTGTCCTGCTGCTGCTGCTGATGATGATGATGATGCTGCCGATGATGATGGTGAGGATGCTGATGCTGATGCTGATGATGATGCTGATGATGATGATACTGATGCTGATGCTGATGATGCTGATGCTGATGCTGCTGATGATGATGATGATTCTGATTATGATGATGATGATGATGATGATGATGAGGATGATCATGATGATGATGATGATGGTGCGGCTGATGATGATACTGATGATGATGATGCTGCTGATGGTGATGATTATGATGATGCTGATAATGCTGATGATGACGGTGGTGGTGGCGATGATGATGATGATGATGATGATGATGATGATGATGATGATGTTGATTATGATGATGCTGATGATGATGATGCTGATGATGCTGATGATGCGGATGATTTTGATGATGATGATGATGATGATGCTGATGCTGATGCTGATGCTGATGCTGCTGATGATGATGATGATGATGATGATGATGATGATGATGATGCCCAGGGGGGGTGGAGGAGGAGGAGGAGGAGGAGGAGGAGGAGGAGGAGGAGGAGGAGGAGGAGGGGGAGGGAGGAGGGGGGGAGGAGGGGGAGGAGGAGGAGGAGGGAGGAGGAGGAGGAGGAGGAGGAGGAGGAGGAGGAGGAGGAGGAGGAGGGGGCTGACTCCTCCCTCCTCGCTCCTCCCTCATGCCCAGCCCAGACATTGGACCATGCAGCAATTTTCACAAGTCGCTGGGCCCTGGAGATTTCGATCCCCTCCCCAGGCCCCTGGACACCCAAAACTCGAAAACTCGACTCTGACTGTTCAGGGGTTCCTGCGGGGAATATGGCTTGGCGGGCTCGGGGAAGGGTGAAAGGGCATGCAGCGCAGGCAGCAGCGGGAGCACGAACAGCTGGAGCCGCAGCCATTTACCTTTCTGTCCGGAGCCCCGAAGCCATACCAAGAAGACGGAGAAGCACTTCTGCCGTGATTTCGTGCAGTTGCCAGAGAATTTGGTGAGGAGGGTCGGAGGGGGGCTGAGAGATCAGGCAGGCCCAGGAGCAAAATGAAACGCTCCAGAGCGTTCTAGATTGCTCTCAGGGCGCTCCCGAACGCTTCGGAACGGCCGCGGCGCACGACACGGTCTCTACATACCCGCGTACTGTCGATGCCATTGCCTCAAACCTTGAGCCCGTCCCTGCCCCCCCGCGAGGACGTGAAGTACAAGAGCCAGGCGGCCTCCCTCCCCCGCCGCCTCCGCCCCAGGCCACGCGGTCTGGCTGGACGGGCCGAACGGGAGAGGCGGGGCTGCTTCGGCTCCTCGTCCTCGTCCTCGTCCTCGTCCTCGTCCTCGTCTTCCCCCTCCTGCGAACATCCCTGCGGGATGTGATGTCCGTGGTGTTCGATCCAGCTCAACATGCATGATATGAAGAGAGAGAGAGAGAGAGGAGAGAGAGAGAGGTAAGAGAGAGAGAGAGAGGAAAGAGGATACATTTATTTATGTATTTATTTATATATATATATATATATATGTATTTATACATACATAATTATACACACAAATCTATACACATATATATATATATATGTAGAGAGATAGAAAGAGAGAGAGAGAGAGAGAGAGAGAGAGACAACAAAAAAAACAAAAGACAGAGAGCAATGCCGTGTAGCAGCCGTGGGGCCAGTCGGCGAGCGAGCCATCAGCTTGCGTGGGTGCCGCCGCCGCTCCGCGCGCCCCGCTCGGATCCCTCTCCGCCGGGGGTGGCGGGGCGCGTGCCTCCCGGGGGGGGCGGCGCCGCTCCGGGCCGGGGGCGCGGCCGAGCACGCCGCCGCCCGGGCGCCCAGCGCGGCCCCGGGCAGCACCGCGCGCGCTTTGTTGTTCCTCCCGCGGCGGGGGTGGGTGGCGGCACGCTCGGCCTCGGCGTCGTCCCAACATGCTGCTATCAAGTCGGGCCTGTCCCTCTGCAGGAGGGAGTATTCAAAAACAGGCATGGGGACGGTGCTTGGAGCATTTTTTGGCTATTATTCTGGGGTATTTTCGGGGCATTTGTAATTTTCCGCCCAGGATCCGCCTGTAGGGGGACACGCCTGACCTAATACAACTGCTCTGTGTGCGTCTCCCCCTCCCCCCCCCCCCCAGGGGGGGCGCGCGCACAGAGAAGTCTTGCAGTGCGTGCGTCGTGGCGGGCGCTGTCTGGCCACACGGCTCGGGAAGCGATCCGCCTCCAAGACGGGTATACGCCACATGTTCGGCTCGGGCGCGCGCCTCCAGGCAGGACGTGCAGTGCCAGCATGTCTCCGTGCGTCCCAGAGTCGGATTCCACCTGGCGCGGCGGGCGGGCGGGTGGACTGGACGTGGCAGATGCGTGCAGAGCAGCACTCCGAGGTGCGTATGCACGCGGAAGATGCTGGCGAGAGATCATGCCAACATCACACACGCACTCGGCAGCGGCACGGCAGTGGACGTGGCCGGAAGCTGCTGGGGAGAGCGGAAGCCGCTGGCAGCGTCGAGAGACGAGCTCACCTGATCACCAACACATTGAACGCTGAGACACAGGAATAGGTGGGGCGACGCTGGCCATTGTAGGTGCACACGTCAAAGGTGCTGCTCATCTCGACTCCTGGATCCACTCCAGCCCGAGCAGCCTCCCCGGGGACGGTCAGAGCGGAGCGGGAGGGAGGCCAGGAAGGGACATATTCCAGGGCACCGCGCTCTGGCGGGCACGACTGATCGACGCCATCGCAAAGCGCCACGCAACATTTGCAGTTTGGACTTGGGGCCAGGTCGGTACGGCCCAAAGGGGCCTGCACACAGCGAAAAGGACGAGCAGTCTCATTCTGAAAACTCGTCGAGGCCAGCACACCGAGCACTCGTCCTGTACGGGCCATCTAGGGCAGGTCTTCTCGGAGCTCAGAACCCTTCGCACCCCCAGCGTCCGCTTGTGGACCAGGCAATTTGAAACGGAGTGGTGCGCTGGTGTAGAGTCCGACCGCCAGAAGTATCTAGCGTAACACAGGTAGGAACGCAATGGAAAAGGAGGCAGGGCGGGAGGGATGGGCATAGCCATGGGTGCGACGTTGCCGAGCTAGCCGAGGTGCTTAGAACGTTGTGGAGGCAGAGCAGCCCGCGTCTGCAGACCAGCAGCGTTGAGGTGCTGCTCAGCGCCTTGAGGCAGTGAGCGGGAGCTCAGCTGCCATCGTTGCAGGCACTACCAGCACCAGCAGGACCGCAACAGCGTCACCGCCAAGACGGCCACGGCCCTGCAACTGACCCATCACCACCATCATTTTGATCATTAGGGCTCCAGGTAACTGGTGGCTTTGCGATTTCGTGGACCATCTTCTTTTTGATGTCGTTTTGCAGCAAAGGCAGAACGAATACAGAACGAAGGAACACGGCAACACAACGGAACGAGGAACACTGTTTAGCTCGAGCCCTTGATCACCCTCATCTCCGCTTCCACCACCACGACCAATGCATAGCCCCGCACCGACAACCAGCGACTACTTTTACGTACGTTCGCGACGGTTTCTTCGAGCATCCTTCCAAGGGCGTTGCGCTTTTTGGTTACTTATGAGCACTCATACGCACCTCTCCGAGGGAATACAGCTCAGAGGCCAATAATTGTAAAGCCGCGTTTCTTTCTTTGGCCGTTTCGCTCTGGACATTCTCAACACTCTGAACATCGGACGCACCATTCACGCAGACTGCGATGCCACGGTTCAAACCATACCTTGTTTCACCCATTTCAGCAGAACAATTTTCAAGCACACTATGTAATTCAATGATTTTAACCCTTGTTCTTTAGCATGCACTTTCGCCTGAAACATCCTCCACATATCGAGCTCCTTTCAACGCCATTCTTTGAAAGCGGCAGTTTCGCCCGAGACATTCTCAACATCGAGCTCTGACGTGCATTTCACACACGTCATACACAGACCATACACACCACACAACACACACAACCCACATACACAACGCACACACACACACACATCTACACCGCACAACACAAAGTTAAATACCATACACACGCACACACAACACACACACACACATTCACACGCGCACACGCACACACATCATGCACATCACACCCATCGCAAGCAACACACGCAACGCACACAGCAAGCGTAGCACACATAATGCGCAGAGCACGCATGACCCACACATAACTCACACATAGCATACACAGCACACAACACAACACGCAACACAAATCGCACAACCCAATACAACCATGACACAAACCTTGTACACCACACACACACACACATCTTTCACACGCTTCACATGTGTTTGCATGAGCCTGTGGGCGCACGTGCCGCCTGTGTGTATATTTGTATCTATAGCATACATATGCATGTACGTATACATAGGCATGCAGCTTCAATACTTGTTGTTCATGGTTTTCTATGCCAGACACATAAGAATGCTTGTGTGTATATGTATATCAATTACAACTACTTCTTGCCACCTTGATTACCCAGCAACGCTGCCTGGTGGCATATGCGGAAAGGGCGCCAGCCGAGCAGCGGCGTGCACGACCACCTTCCACGCTCGGTCCCGGGGGCTTGGGCTTCCCCGCAGGAGGCTGCCCATCAAACCCCCTCTTTCCCTCCACTCAGGCACAGTGGAGGCCCATGCCACGAAACACCCTGCTTGCCTCCAGGGTGCCCTGGGTTTCCTGGGTCTCGATGGCTTTGCCGTGGAGGGCGCGACGTTCCCACACCCAAATATCAATGGACATCCTGGGGTCTCAGGGTTGGGTTTCTTGTGGAAGGTTTCTTGTGGGCTGGCCGCCACCGTACGGCAAGTTTGCGCTGCGCCGACGTGGCGGCGACGCCGGCGTGGGCGCTCGAGGTGGAAGGTCACCTGCGGTCCGAACCAGGTTCAGCCTCGAACGATCTCCGCCGCCGAGCAACGCCGACCGCTCAAGGTGGAACGATCTGCGTCGTGTTTTTGTTTTTTTTTGTTTTGTTTTTTTGTTTGTTTTTTTATTGTTTTTGTTTTTTTTGTTTCTCGCTCCTTCTCATCCTCCTCCTCCTCGCTCCTCCTCCTCGCTCCTCCTTCTCCTCCTCCTCCTCGCTCCTCCTCCTCCTCCTCCTCCTGCTCCCCCTCCTCCTCCTCGCTCCTCCTCCTCGCTCCTCCTCCTCGCTCCTCCTCCTCCTCCTCCTCCTCCTCGCTCCTCCTCCTCCTCCTCCTCCTCCTCCTCGCTTCCTCCTCCTTCTCCTCCTCCTCCTCCTCTTCCTCCTCTCTCCTCCTCCGCTCAAGCCAGCGCCCACGTCGATGCGACAGGAACCGCCGCACACAGGGGCACGCCCGAGCCCGGCGCCCAGGAGTCGGCCAACCGCGACAAGGAGACAGCGGAGGCCCGCCGGGCTGGGAGCAGAGTGACGGCTGCGCCACCCCTCGAGGGTCACGGGAGGCGGCAGCATGGGGAAGATGTCGGATGGATGAGGAGGGATGTGGATGAGGATGAGGGATAAGGATGCTGCTGCTGATGATGATGATGATGAGGATGATGATGATGATGATGATGATGATGATGCTGACGATGATGAGGATGCTATTTATGATGATGATGCTGGTAATGATGATGACGATGATATGATAATGCTGATGATGATCTGATGATGCTGCTGATGATGACGATGATGCTGATTATGAGTCTGATGGCGATGATGAAGCTGCTGCTGATGATGGTAATGATGATGATGCTGATGATTATGCTGATGCTGATGCTGATGATGATGCTGCTGATGCTGCTGCATATGATGATGATGACGATCATGGTGGTGGTGGTGATGATGGTGGTTGCTTTGATGATGACGATGATGCTGTTGATGCTGATGCTGATGCCCACGACGACGACGATGCTGCTGATGATGAGGACGATGATCGTGATGATGCTCATGATGATGGCGATGATGTAGGTGATGATGATGCTGATGATGATGCTGGTGATGCTGAAGCTGATGGTAATGATACTTTCGAGGATGATGATACTGCTGCTGATGATGCTTATTATGACTAGGATGACGATCACGACGATGCTGATGATGATGATGATGCTGATGCTGCTGCTGATGATGATGATAATGATGCTGATGCTGATGATGACGATTGGTGGTGGTGATGATGATGATTGTTGGTGATGCTGATGACGACAAATGATGCTGCCGATGCCGATGATGCTAGTCATGCTAACGACGATTCCGATGATAATGATGATGGTCATGATATTGTTCCTGATGATGATGATGATGATGATGATGATGATGATGATGATGATGATGATGATTCTGATGATGATGCTGATGCTGACGATGATGATTATGATGATGATGATGCTGGTGCTGACGCTGATGCTAATACTGCTGATGATGATGCTTCTGATAATGATGATGGTGGTGGTGGTGCGGTTGATGCTGATAAACGTAGTGATGAGGTTGCTGATGCTTGGGGTGATGCTGATGCTGATGATGCTGATGATGATGCTGCTGATGATGATTTATGATGCTGATGATGGTGAGGCTGATGATGCTGTCGATTCTGAGCATGCTCATGATGATGCTGATGACGATGATGCTGCTGCTGATGATGATTCCTTTGCTGCTGCTGCGGATCATGATGATGATGATGATGATGATGATGAGGAGGAGGAGGATGATGATGATGATGATGATGATGATGATGATGCGGACGATGATGATTATGATGCCGATTATGACGATGCTGCTGCTGATGATAATGCTACTGATGATGTGGAGGAGGTTGAGGATGATGCTGCTGCTGATGATAATGCTGATGCTGATGATTATGCTTATGATATTGATGCTGAGGAGGCTGATGTCGCTGCTGCTGATGATGATATGGATGATGATGATGATGATGATGCTGATGATCATGATGATGCTGCTGATGCTGATGGTGGTGTTGATCATGATGCTGCTGCTGATGATGATGACGATGATGATGATGATGCTGATGATGCTGCTGATGATGGTGCTGCTGATGATGATGACGATGCTGATGATGATGCTGATGATGATGATGATGATGGTGATGTATGCTGATGATGGTGGTGGTAATGATGACGGTGATGATGATGATGCTTCCGAGGAGGAGGAGGAGGAGGAAGAGGAGGAGTTGCAGGAGGAGGTGGATGATGATGATGATGATGATGATGATGATGATGCTGATGATGATGATGATGATGATGATGGTGGTGGTGGTGGTGGTGATGATGATGATGCTGATGATGATGGTGATGATGATGATGATGATGATGATGATGATGATGATGATGATGATGATGATGATGATGATGATGATGATGATGATGCTGCTGCTGCTGATGATGATGAGGAGGAGGAGGAGGAGGAGGAGGAGCGAGGAGAAGGAGGAGGAGGAGGAGGAGGAGGAGGAGGAGAGGAGAGAGGAGGGGGGAGGAGGAGGAGGAGGAGGAGGAGGAGGAGGAGGAGGAGGAGGAGGACGAGGAGGAGGAGGCGGAGGAGGAGGAGAAGGAGCGAGCAATGACACGGATTCCCTTGCCTTGGTCAGGTGGGGGCCAGGGCTTGACCTGACCAGCCCTGGACCACCCGACCGTGTACAGGAACTCGCGGAACTCGTGGTGCATCTACCACTGTTCGTCTTCGCGTGGCTTGCCCGGAACTCTGTCTTAACCCTCTTCGTCTCGAGCTCGTCATTGTTATCGTTGATCTCCCTCGGCGGCTTCTCCACGAGAGACTTTCCAGGCCCTCGAGGTTCCCCTCCATGCGTTCGAGAACCCTGTCCTCGCGTTTCTTCTCATTTTACCCCGTGGCGGCGTTAGGCTCGGCCATGCCCCCGATGTTCTCCATCCTCGCCGAGTTGTGTGTGCTTCTCGTCTGTGTGCTTATCCTTTCCCTCGTTCTTTAGCATCCTGTCGTCCGCGACTGGCAGGGTCGCCGACTTCATGGCCGAGAACTGGGCCACTTTGGGGTCTTCTGCTTCTTTCCCTTCTCCCTATCCTTCTTCTTCTTCTTGCCCCACTTCTCGGGCGCGGTGGCTGCGACAGAGGACACTGCTGGCCAGTTCGGGCCTCCCCGCACGATGGAGACGGACCCGGGCGTCTTCACCCGCACTCATCGTTCGTTGTGGTATCTCTGGATTCCCAGGTTCCAGTATGTGTTAGGCGCCACCCTAGTGCAGTTGTCAGATGGCTTCCGCTTCCTTGTCCCCCAATGGGAGATCTACTCTCAACGCCCTCCTACCTCATGTTTCTACCCTCTTCTTCCGAACAGTGGGTCATCGTGGATCATCGTGGATTCTCGGCAGTCGGGCGTGGCCCCAGCCACGGTCAGAAGCGAACGTATATTGTTGCCGCGGCTGGTGGACCCTGCGTACCAGGCCCTCCATCAGATGCGGCAGACCAAGCACGACTACGACACAGAGCTAGCGGTCTTGGACTTCAAGGACGCGTTCTTCCTGATGCCGCTGCACGCTTCCGAGCGCAAGTTTTTCGTGCTGAAATTCCGGGGCCGCTTCTTGGTCTTCATGGTCACCCCGCAGGGCGCAGCGTTGTCCCCGCTAGGGGTCGTCTGGCAGCGCTGGTAGCGCGGCTCACGCAAGGCATGTATGAGCCGAGGTCGTTGTTGCTGAGCGTCCACGTGGACGACCCTTGCATGGCCGTCACAGGCACGAAGGCCGACAGAGATCTCAGGATCGCCGCCATCGCGGTGCTTTGGAACGCGCTGGGATTCCCACTCTCCTACCGCAAGGCTGCGAGAGGCATGGAGGTGACTTGGGTCGGCCGCACCTTCGCGCTCTCCCGCGAGATGGTGGCCCTCCGGGTCAAGCGCGCCATCTTGGAAGACCTCGAGTCCCAGGTAGGCCAAGCGTTGGCTAGCAATGTCTGCTCGCGGAAGCTCTTGCGAAGCCTGACGGGCAGGGCTTCCCACGTGGCGTCGGTCATTTGGCCGTTGCGCCCGTTCCTGCAGCAGCTCTGGGCCGCCTTAGCCGCAGGGGCAAGTGGGGCGCCGCCGCAATGCGTGTGGACGCGCCAGATCGAGGGGTCCTTGTTGTGGCTTCGCGCCTTCCTCTCTGGCGCGGCGGGCACGCTAGTGCGGAAGTTCGTCTTGGCGGATTTCTTCAACGAGGGCGTGTTGGTCTCCATCACCCTGGATGCCTCCCCATGGGGGCTCGGGGCCATCTTGGAGGAGGCAGGCCGCGTCGTCGAATGGTACGCTGTGCCGCTGGACGGCTACGACGTGGCCGTCCACGGGTTCCAGCTCGGCGACGCGGCGGGCCAGCAGACGTGGGAGACCCTCAATGCGCTGGTGGCCCTGAGGTGCTGGGCTCCCAGATGGTCCAACAGGCGTGTATCCTTGTACGTCAGGGGTGACAGCGTTACAATGCTGACCATGCTCCTCTCGTTTCGGCCTGCCACGCGTAGCGGGTCCCTGGGCCTCATTGCCAGGGAGGTCGCTCTAGACGTGGCGAGCGCGGTGTACGGCCCAGACGTGGTCGAGCACGTTCCTGGTCTCGCGAACGTCGCAGCGGACACACTCAGCCGACGTTTTGCGCCAGATGCTGCAGCGTGGAGTCCACCCCTGCTCGTTGCTGGCGCCTCGGAGGTGCGCCCGCCACCGAGAACCGAGGCTTTCTACACAACGGTGAAGGGTGCGGCTGCCTACGCGGCGGCCGGCAAGCCAGGCGGGGCTGTTGGGGCCGCCGCTCCAGGGGGAGAGGTGCGGCAGGACCACGTGCCTGCATCGAGGGTTTGGCAGTGATTCTCGGTGCAGGTGCCTGCACGCGCATTCGTGGGCGCCCCACGGTACATGCGCTTCGCGCGCCCTGCAATTTGTTTTGGGGGTGTCGCTGCGCGTGCGCGCTCGCGGACGTTCCACGGCGCACGTGGCCCCAGCAGTTTAATCATTTAAAGCGTGCAGCATGCTTTTAATAGTTTCTTGGCAGGGCGTTGCGGTGTCTCGTTGCGTGGTTGTGCCATGCTGGAGAGGCTGCAGGGCACTCGATGGTTACAGTCGCGTGGGTTCGCCACGGGCGTGCGAGGCCGGCAAAAATGTCGATCTTGCGACGGACGCATCGCATCGTCATCTCGAGGGCCTCGGCATCGCGTGGTGCGGCACCGTCGCTCCACGGGATTCTTAGGGTGCCGCCTCTCCGTGCTGCGCCCCTTGGGCGCCACGGTTCTTGAGCGCCGCGGTTCTTCAGCGCCTGGGCCTAGCAGCCGGCGACGACAGTCTTCCCTCGTTGCCTCGGTTTCCGCGGAGAGTCGCGCCTTGCTTCCCGGAGCACGGTCGTCATTGTGTGTGTGCGTGTGTGGCGGCATCCGCGTTTTGCTGGATGGGGTGCGATTTATTTTCTCCGTGAGTAAGAGCTAACCTACTCACGGTGCCCACGGTCTGCCTCGTGGTGCACGCTTGCCCCACGGTATACGTGGTGGCGCTCTCGCGTGTTGCTGATTAGTTTCGGCCACGGCGGTCGTCACTGTGTGTGGCGGCATCCGCGTTTTTCTGGACGGGGTGCGATTTATTTTCTCCGTGAGTAAGAGCTAACCTACTCACGGTGCCCACGGTCAGCCTCGTGGTGCACGCTTGCCCCACGGTATACGTGGCGGCGCTCTCGCGTGTTGCTGATTAGTTTCGGCCACGGGGCCACAGTGCACATCTGCCACGGTATCGTGGTCTACCTTCCCCCTTGAGCCAAAAGCTTTCCGGGGGAAGGTGCGCGTGCACATTTCTCACACCCTCGAGGCGCATTGCGATCGGAATTGTATTGCTTATATGTTTTTCGTTCGTGATCTCGACCACGCATTCGCATTGCCTCGTGGCGTCGCCCACGTGCCTGCAAAGGAAAATGCTGCTTCGTGGCTTCGTCCACGTGCGCCTGCTCGGAACAAAAATGCGATGCTCATCCTTCATCTTTTCGTAGGCGTATTGGCTCAATGCGGTGGTCGCGATGAGTCGTCCCGCCAAGTGGCGTCGGCTCACTGGTGGCACCCGCACTGTACTCCCGCCTCCGCATGGGCTGGTCGAACCTCCCGCGCCCCTCGCTGCGCCGCCACAGCCTGTCGCAGGGCAGGCGCCCGTCGCTGCATCGTCATTCGTGGGGGCTCCAGCGTCATCGCAGGTTGGGTCGTCATTGCTCACGCTGGAGCACCGCCGCGTGTTGGGTTTGGAGCCGGCGCTTGCCTTGCTTCCCACGGTTCGGCCGCAATTGTTGGCAGGGCCAGGTCCCGCGGGGTCGGCCGCAGCCTGCTCCAGCCCTGCCGCTCTCCCACCGCAGTTGGCTCCTCGGCGGGACGCTCCGACGCTCAGATTTTCAGCGGGCTCTCGGGCAACTTCCAGCGATGTTGTCCTGGACCCTGCTGTGAAGGAGGAGATGCTCAGGGAACTGGATGAGGACGTTCTGGCGCAGTCGGCTGCCGCCTCCTCCGCTTCCACGCTGAGGACATGTGTGAAGTTTCACAGAGCATGGTTTCCCCACGCTCCTGCATTTCCGACCTGGCCTGCAGCTGTCCGGGCAGTGGCCGCCCAGATGAAGCAGAAAGGCTATAGAGGTTGGGCAGATTATCTTTCCCGGGCCAAGCGGGAGCACATACAGGCGGGCGGTGTCTGGGACCAGGTGTTGGACTACACGGCCAAGGAGTGCACAAGGTCGGTTTCCAGAGGCTTGGGGCCGCCAAGGCAATCGGCACCACTGGATGTCAAGGCCGTGGCGGCATTACATTTGTCTGTGGCGCCGCTCTGCGAAGGGGGGCCCATGAATCCGAAAGCTTTGATCATCCTTGGTTCATTCTTCCTCACTCGCGAGATCGAGATATCGCTGGCGTTATGCCGAAACGTCCACATCTTAGCAGGGCCCGTGGTGTGCTGGGTATTGCTGGCCTCTAAAACGGACCCGGCGGCAAACACTGTCACTCGAGAGTGGGGTTGCTTGTGTGACACGGCAGGAAAGCATTTATGTCCTGCGCATGTGGCAGTCGATCATGTAAGAGTGTTGGAGGCAAAGTTCGGGCCGCGGGACTCGTGGCCAGAAGAGCTTCCTTGGTTCCCCACTGCTCAGGGCACGGTGGTGCAGAAACAACGTGTGGTGGAAACCATAGAGCTGGTGGCCCAGAGCTGCGGGGACGCGTTGGTCGACGAGCTAGGCCGGCGGCGTTTTGGTGGGCATACTCTCCGTGTGTCTGGCGCTCGGCACCTCGCCGGCATGGGCCTAGAGTTGTACAAGTTGGCCTTCTTGGCCCAGTGGGCGAGCCCTATCATTATGCGCTATGTCGCCGAGGCGCCCATGGCCGGAATCACCGAGGATGTCCGGAGGCTCATCAAGGGTCTGCCTGAAGGCCATCAGTTTGACCGCGTGTGGCAAGAATTGGAACGACTTCGATCGACGACCGATTTGTTGCAAGATCGATTTGCTCGGCTCGCGGTGCAAGAGGAGCAATCCCGCAAACAGGTTGAAGATCTGCACGCTTCGCTGCACCAGCCAGGTGCTCAGTTGCCGAAGGTCGTCCAAAACTTGAGCAGTGGCGCTTGGCACCGAATCCTGGTGGACGGGGTAGCTCACCACCCCGCGCAATGGAGGACTTGGTGTGGATGGCACTTTGGCCACGCCAGGGCCTCTCGTGCAGAGACAGCCCCCAGCGACGGTGCCGGTGGCTCGCTTTGCGATAAATGTTTTAAGCATGTTGGTTGTTAGTGGGTGCTTGGGAGAGTCGTCTGGTTACCACGGGTCGTGGTACCACGGCAGCCCCACGGTTCCCGTGGCGGCAGCGTTTCCGGCACATCACAGCGGAGTGAGACAACGATTCCCGCAACCAACCGATGGAAAACGAATTGTCTTATCGTTCTCTTGCCTCAAGTTGTGGGTGGGTGGCCTTCTCTCCTCCCTCCAATTGTTGGAAGGAACAGAGAGCAGCGGTGTGCATGTAACAATTGGGGGGAGTAGTCAGGGGGGTGGGCGGGTAGCAGCTCGTGGCGTTGATCGTGACATCGTGTGCCAATTTGGGTTCAAAGGTGCACGATCGCCACGTCAGAAACACCCGCCCGCTCATCCCTGGGTGCTTGGGAGAGTCGTCTGGTTACCACGGGTCGTGGTACCACGGCAGCCCCACGGTTTCCGTGGCGGCAGCGTTTCCGGCACATCACAGCGGAGTGAGACAACGACTCCCACAACCGACCGATGGAAAACGAATTGTCTTATCGTTCTCTTGCCTCAAGTGGTGGGTGGGTGGCCTTCTCTCCTCCCTCCAATTGTTTTAGGCGCCACCCTAGTGCAGTTGTCAGATGGCCTCCGCTTCCTTGCCCCCAATGGGAGATCTACTCTCAACGCCCTCCTACCTCATGTTTCTACCCTCTTCTTCCGGACAGTGGGTCGCCTTCTGGCCCTCTTAGCCGTGCGTCGCGAGCAGGTCCCGTCGAAGAGGAGGTCGCACGCCCTGCATTTGGGAGCGGCCCGATCTGGCTCCATCACCTGAGCTGAAGGAGGAGGAGGATACGGAGGAAAAGCAGGACACGGAGCAGGAGAAGGAGGAGGAGTAGGAGGAGGAGGAGGAGGAGGAGGAGGAGGAGGAGGAGGAGGAGGAGGAGAAGGAGGAGTGTGTGTGTGTATGAATGTGACTGCCGTGGGCGGGGGGATGTACTCCCTCATTCCTTCCGCTCTTCTGTTTCCTCCTTAGCTCCTCCCGCCTCTTCTCCCTCTCCCCCCCTCTTGCAAGTACTCAGCACCTACATGCTATGTGCACGTACTGCTCTCCTCTTTCTTCTGGTGCCGTGCAGGTTCGGGGAAACTGTACCGTGCACGCTGGCTTCTCAACAGGATAGTATGAGTTGCGTTTCGATATGGTTTGCACTCAGGCTATGTCCTGCCTTCAAACAGTGTTGCTCTCGCTGGCACGCTTGCCATATTTCGTGATAGTACGGGAGCTTACGCCCAACGGAAAGACGCTGCTGCTGCGGCGGTGGCAAGGGTCGTACAATTGCACCAGTAGGAATGGTGATCCCGTTGCGGGGTTTCTGCCGCATTCTATATATACACATATTGCGAAGGCCTTTCGGCCAGTGCCGCCGACCCTGAAGGGAGACGATGAGGACGACAACGGCGGCGGCAACGACGACGGTGCTGACGGGGGTCAGAGTCCTCAGGGATGCTTCTGGGGGTCTCTTCGGTCGGCTCTCGGGGGCCTCTGAGGAGGAATTTTTGGGCCTCTTGGAAGCCACGGGGCCTCTTGGGGTCCTCTTGGGGGCTTTTTCGGGCTTCCTGGGGACCTCTCGTGGGCCTCTTGGGGCCTCTTGGGGACCCCTTTCAGGGCCTCCTGGGAGCCTCTCGCTTTGGGCCGACGGCTCGAAATGTCCGTTCTGGTGCCCCGTCTGGGCACGCTCTTGGAGCCGTCTTGGGGGGCCTCTTGGGCCGTCCTGGAGGAGCTTTGGGTTATCTTGGGGTCCTCTTAGGCTGCTTTGGGGCCCTCTTGGAGGCCTCTTGGGCCGCCTTGGGGCGATCTTGGGGGCACCTTGCCCCGTCTTGGTTGGCGATTAGGGGCCCTCTCTGCCCCCCCCCTCCCCCCCAACCTCCTCCACGACCCTCCTCTCCTGGGACCCCCCCCCCCTGGCCAGGGACCCCCCCCCCCGTGACCTCCCCGTGATCTCCCCTGGGACCCCACCCAGGATCCCCCCTGGGACACTCGCAGCGGCCCCCCCCTGGCGGGGGAGGGATCAAAGGGAGGTTCTTCCCTTCGACTCGATTCCGACATTGCTTGTTTTTCCCAACCATC